AAAAAAAAAAAAAAAGTCATCTTAAAGACATCACTTTGAGGACTAAGCTATGCCTGATCTAACCCATGATGTTTCCGATCATCTCATATGTATACAAAAGCTGGACAAGGAAAAAGGAAGACCAGAGAAGAATTGATGCCTTTGAGTTATGGTGTTGTTTAAGACAACTGAAAGTACAATGAACTGTCAGAAGAACAAACAAATCTATCTCAGAAGAAGTAGAGCTGGATTGCTCTTAGAAGCGAGGATAGTGAAACTTCATCTCAGGTACTTCAGACATGCTGTCAAAAAGAACAAGTCCCTGGAAAAGGACATTACACTTGGTGGAGCATCTGCGAACAACAGGAAGCCAGCCCCTCAGTGAACTAGAACGGCCCAGTGGCTGCAACAATGGTCTCAAACACGGCCGTGATTGGAGGAGAGCGTTAAGACATGGCAATGCTTCACTCTGCTGTACAAAGGGTCATTAAGAGTTGTAATCAACTCCATGGTACCTAACAACAGCTCTTCAGAACTGCAAAGGAATTCATCAAACATTTAACTTGGACTTTATGTGGCCCAGTGTAGCTGGGAAAGTGGTGTAGAAAAGCCTAAACTACATGGGATGTGGGCACCCGTCCCACTCACGTGGGGTATCCTCGGACGCCCTGGGCGGAGCACACATCCGAGTCTGCCGTGCAGTCCACTTTCACCACGTAGACCTTGGCATCTTCCATGCTGTTGTACTTGTCTCCCAGGTCATTCCACGTGGGCTGCAGCCGCTGGCAATGCCCACACCTACAAGGAGAATCACAAACATACTGAGTGCCCTGGCACTTCATCATCTGCGGAGGGCAGCTGTCTTACCACAGAGGGATGGCACACAACTACTAGAGGGCCTGCCACTCCCTCCAGAGACCCTGCATCCTTTCAGCACTTGGTTCATACTTAGCGAGCTAAGCCCATGTCCCCCTGCTGGCCTCCACACAGGAGCTCACCCTTGTCCCTTTCCACTCCTGAGCCATTCTGCAGTGCTCACAGTTTCTGATCTTGGCTTGCCCCTGGGACTCCATTCATCTTCATCACTTCCTCCTGACTTCCGCCTGGCTAGTCTATATTTGCCCTCCATTTCAAAGAATACATTCATTACAAGTATTGCTATTTTCCACACTTTACATTTCATGAACATACTAGTATCTTTTCTGTTACTAGATCAACTTTTGGATTCACAGAGCTGATCATTATCTCTAATTGTCTCAGCTGTCAGCAGTGTCTTATGTGGCCGCTGCATGAGCCCACAGACACTATCAGAGCTTAAATGCACATTCACAAAGCAGGATGGCTTCTCAATTCTCTGGCGGTGTACATTCGTGGTATCCACAAGGTATAATATTGCTGTTTAACACCAAGTTGGTTCCAACTCACAGCAACCTTATTTCCTTTTAATCATATCTATTTTATGTATTGGAGTCCTGGTGTGGCACTGTGGGTTAATGTGCTGGGCTGCAAAGTCAGTTTGAACCTCAAGGTCAGCGGTTTACACCAGGTGTTTCCTCAGAAACACTATACAGGGTCACTATGGGTTAGAACTGATTCAATGGCACGTAACAACAACATAGGGTTTCTGAGCAACGGTCGATGGGTTTGAACCACCGATCCCTGCGATTAGTAGTCCAGTGCTTACACTACAGTGTCACACCTTTGTAAAATGCTAGTCTTTACAAGGCCTCTTTACCAGGACATCCAATATGTGTACCTTCTTTGGTCTTCCTGAAAATAATTTCTAGATAAACACTGTGCTCAATATCCTTGCCTCTTTTCAGGTCTGACAGATGGTCTCAATGATAAACACCTCAAGTTAGGACTCAGTAAGTTGATGTCAAGCTAAGTTAAGCCTTTCCTAAGCAGCACCTTCCTAACCAAGCCAAGAGAATCTTTATTTTTATAAGCGAATCAAATACAATGATTCCCTCTTTTGTGGAGGATAATTTTGAGGGAAAATGCAGTGCTATGTTTGAGTATGTATAGTTCCAAGTTCCAAGAAAGCAAGCACTGTCCTCCTTGCTATATATGACCCTAGCTCCAGCACATGCGTGGTGTGCACTAACCGCCTGACAACTTGCTCACTGAATGAAGTTTAAAAAGTACAGTGCAATGGTACCACGTGTGTGAATATAACTTCTGCAAATTCAACAACATGAGCTTGACAAGAAAAAAAAGTAAGGTAAATAAGAAAATGAACAAAATCACACATTCCATAGCCCTCTGCAGTGACTGTGGCTTGCGGGATGTGGTGCTGTTGGCCTCCACCCAGCAGGTTCCTTCTCAGGGTTCAAGCATCTCAGTACAGCGAGTGTCCTGGTGCGGCGCTGTAGGGATAAGCCCTGGACCGTAAGGTTGGTTTACACTGCTGGGTCTGCAGTTCAGACCCTACAGCCGCTCCTCAGAAACCCTATACAGGGTCGCTATGAGTCGGACTAACTCGACAACACTTAACAACAAAACAACTGTTATCGCAGCACATCAAGGCTGATGCTGCTAAAGACACAAATGAAACAACTGGACCACTCAGAGCTGAACCAAAGAAGTCATGGTCTGATCTGATGCTGGGGGAAACTGGCTGCCTGGGCTTACTGAATGATCCCACATGACGTGGTCTCAAACAAGGCACCTTCCTAAGGGATTTCCAGGGATAGTCTGGACTCCTCTGGATGTTTTGGGTTCTTGCCGTCTTTTGCCGGTTATACTCATTTTAGATGCAGCTCTCACCTAGCACATGAGTTTGTCCGTATTCTTGAGAAGTCAACACAAGACTAGATTAAAAGTGCGAATAAGGAATAATTCATCGTGTCCAGATTCCAAACCAAGCATCCAGGACCATCACTCATCATCAGGCATGCCCCTCACGCTCTGGTCCAGGTGGCTGTTATAAAGTCATAGACGCCATTTAGTTGGTACAGCTGATGAGGAACCATGCAGCTACAGCATGTAACTCAGAGCCAGCCAGCTGCGATCAGAAGGTGGTTTGTGTCCATGTGACAGGGCAAGTTCACGTGATGCTCCCAAGGAGGCAGCCCAACCTTGACCTCATTGGCACCGCACTCAATATGACTAGCAAACTGGCTGCAGAGAAGCTGTGGACTGATGTTGGCAAAACATGTATAGCAGCAGGGCCAAGTCTTACATCTGCCAAGTGCAGGTCAAAGGCATATAGGTCACTACACTGTGTCTCTGCCCCCAAGTCTCAGTGGGTTTCCAGCAGTCCACAAAAACGGAAACAAGAAACAGGCAGGGAGTCCAGCCGACCCTGTACTCTGAGCCCCAATCTGCTCTCAAGTTAGAACTTTTAAATGCCATCACAGAAACATACATGTCTCTACTTAAATATCTGTAGAAGACTCTTAAGACAAACACACACAGAACTTACAAAGTTAATTCTTGTGGGACATCAATCTAAACCTCTCTAAGCCACAAACAGGAGAAAAAGGGAATTTACTTATTATCAATGGTCCACAATCGCCTGCACTGTCCCTCACTCAATCCAGAACCAGAGACTCCAGCTTAAACCTCTGTTGGCCACTGCATGGACTTTGTTGTTGTAAAGTGCTGTGGAGCTCCACCTCACAGCAACCCTGTATAGGGTTTCTGAGGAACAGCTGATGAGCTTGAACCACCAACCTCATGGTTCACACCAACCTTGCAGTCCAGCGCATTAACCCACAGCACCACATCAGGACTTAATGATGACAATTTTTCTTTAAAAAGTAACTAAGAAAACATCTTGGTGTGGCCCTGTGTGATAATGCACTGGACTGCATGGTCAGTTTCAATCACCAAGTTGGTGGTTCAAGCTTGCCAGCCGGTCCTCAAAAATCCTATACAGGGTTGTTATGAGTCAAAAAGGACTTGAAGGCACTTAACAACAACATGGACAGATTTATTCCATAGCAAGAGAGTCCAATTAAGTAGTCTCTTTAATTGGAATAATTAGTCTGAGGATACTCCTACGCAGAATAACTATATTATGTGATGCTCTAGGATAAGTACTGAACTGTGACCCACAAGGTCAGCAGTTCAAACCCACCAGCTGCTCATTAAGTCCTAGAAACGACTCCTCAGCGCTTAACATTATTTGGCTCAGCGGTTACGTGAATCCACCAGCTGCTCTGTGGGAGAAAGATTGCAGCCTTATAAATCCTATGGGCAATTCTACTCAGTCCTAGAGCAACTTAAGAGTCAGAATGGCAACTGACTTTGTGTTGTTTTTTAAAATGATTATTACCTTGTTGCCACAAAGTATCTTCTATACCACTGGTAGTTCCTAAAATCCACGACATTTGGTTCTTGGGAACTTTAAACACATTCTTTGACAAATTATTAGTAAGTGACTTGTTGTTAAGTGCTGTAGAGTAGGTTCCAACTCATAGCAGCCTGTATAGGTTTTCCCAAGAGCAGCTGGTTGAGTTTGAACCTCTGACTTTGAGGTTCAAACTGACCTTGAGGTTGAAAGCGCATCCTAAGGGACACACCCAAGGAAAAGCTGATTTAACTAGCAGAGTCAAAGCACTGTAAAACACCCTGGGTTCTAAACCCTGGAGGTGGGATCAAAGTTTTTCCCCACTTCCACCAGCACTGAGTTAGCAGATCCCTTCTCCAGGACCATGAGTCTTTCTTTTTGGCTCTGGGTGGTGTTGTTAAGTGCTGTGGAGTTGATTCCAACTTATAGCGACCCTGTACAGGGTTTCTGAGGAGCAGCTAGTGAGCTTGAACCATGCATTTTTGTGCTTCAAACTGACCTTGCAGTCCAGGGGGTTAACCCACAGCGCTACACCAGAACTCTGTTTAAGAATGCCAAATTTTGCAAACCGCATATTCAGGTCAACCCTGGATCCCAAACAGTCCTAAAATTGTGGACGTCTGCCCTAACTGCAAGATCAGTAATTCAAATCTACCAGTTGCTGCTCAGCTGGAGAAAAACGAGGCTTCCTGCACATTGGAAACCCTTCCCAGCCTCCTAAGTCCTTTGGGGGGTCGCTCTAAGTGGGAACGGGCTTGATGGCACACAACCACCCCTCTCTCTGGCATCTGGACCCTGGTAAGAAAGCACAACTGTGTTAATTGTGAATGACCAGGAGTCCTTCAGACAAGTACTTCCCAGGTTAGGGTCTCAGGTTAGCAGGGCGGACCACACCTCTAAAGAGAGTGAAGGCAGGGGGTATGTAGGCCACCATCTGTTCAATGCGGTGGTTCTACCTTGGCACAGTTTTCAGGAAACCTAGCTCAGAGACAGGAGGGAGATGACAGAGATGAATTTCAGGTGTGAGTCGGTGGGTTTCCCTCACCGGGAGCACAGTTCCCATCCATTCCAAACTACTGAGGACTCCGGGCAATTCTCACCACCCTCTGCTCCCCATGGCGGCAGAAACACCCCACCTCACAAAACGCACATAAAGTGAGGAGCCACACCTTGGTGGCTTGCTGTCGTTAAAACCCTCACGCAGGTCATCTGCCCTCAAGGAGCGCAATGAAAGCGACCACCTAAGTGTCCATGGCCGACCCCAGCTCGCAGCGATCAGCAGGGAGGCCCCTCCCAGGAGTCGCCGCCCACGTGGCTCCGTATGGGGCACGAGGCCCAAGAGTCCGGCCGGCCCAGGAAGTTTGGGCAGGGGCAGTCGGAGTGACGTCCAAGCTCCACCAAGTCCTAAAGGCAGAGGATCCCTCCCTTTGCCCGGGGGGTGGGATCGAGGAGTTCTGTAACAGGCGAGCGGATGGCTGAGCTGGTAGGGGGAGGAGAGAGGACTCCAGGGGCCGCCTGTTCCGGACTCCACTCGGGAGCCACCTCTCCTCCTCCTCCTCCCCGCGCCACGTCAGCCGGACCGCCAGGGAAGGTTCCCGGGACGGCATGACGGCGGCCGGAGCGCAGGGCGCTGGGAGACACGCAGGGCCGCTCTGCGTCCAGCCGGAGCGCAGCGGAGAGGTGCGCGGCCGGGGACAGCGGGCAGTTAGTTACCAGGGCGCGAAGAACATGACGAAGTGCGCGGCGCTCTGGATCCCGTGCGCGAACATGTCGGCCGTGTACAGGTGTTTGGCGTGCGGGTCCTGCGCCTCGGCGCCCCCGGCCGCTGGGGGACCGTCTGCCGGCGCCCCCGGCTCTTGGGCCCAGGCCCGTGGGCCGAAGCCCCAGCGCCCGCCGCCGCCCAGCAGCAGCAGCATCGCGGCCAAGGACAGCCGTCGGGGCAGCGGGGGGAAAAGGTGTCCGGAGCGCGCAGGCATCGCGGCTAGGCTGGGCGCGCTCTCGCCGCTGCGGCCGGTCCCCTAGCCGCCGCCCGCCTGCTGCCGCCGCCCCGCCCCACGTCGCGTCCCGCCCCGAAGAGGCCGCGCCACTTCCTTTGCCCGCCCTTTGCCGGGAGCGCGCAGCGCCTGCTCCTCGGCTTGCTGCCTGGTGTCCAAAGGCTACTGCAGCGCGGGGTGAGGGAGGGAGGGGAGCATGGGCCCTAGACCTTCAACACTCTGGGATGGCTCAGCTTAATCCCGCGAGGTTCCTGACCCTCCCCAAATCTAAGTTCCTAAACTCATTCCCCCTGGTCCCCACTCCGCTGAGCAAGGGTGAATCTTGGTGAAATAAACTAACAGGCCTGAGACAGGCAGAGAAAGCCACAGAGGGCACTGTCAGCCTGTGTTAACCTCAGTACACACAAAGACCCCGGAATTTCAGACAAAGGGAGAAAAGAGCTACCATCAGCAGAATGTAGGAAACCGGACAGAAGTAGGCGGGGTTGGCACATGAATGAGTCAGGTTCTTGGCTAGACATCAACTGTGACTCTGGGTCTAAGCTCAGAGGTGTGATGAAATCTACAAGAGGAACATTTACCTGTTACCCCTGCCCTATCCTCACATGAGGGTAAAGAGGAAAGGAGGTCAATGTGCTGTCTTCTAAATGTGCTTTAGTCCTCACAAGACTGGCCCATGGCATGTTGTTGTTAAGTGCCGTCGAGTCGGTTCCGACCCATAGCGACCCTGTACAGGGTTTGCGAGGCTGTAAATCTTTACTGGAGCAGAAAGCCTCATCTTTCTCCCGCGGAGCAGCTGGTAGTTTCGAACTGCTGTACTGTGCCCTAACTCATCCACGTGCGTCTGCTTAGCACACTTCTTGGGCACCTACTACTTGCTTTGCCCAAAATACTGTTATTCTTAAGCGCTGTCGAGTCAGTTCCAACTCAGCAACTGTATAGGATTTCTGTATTGGTTTGAACCACCAACTTTGTGGTTGGCCGTCCAGTACTTATTCCTACAGCACCACACCACGACCAAATTATTAGGGTTAAGAAAGTTAATGACAACCCCCTTACCTTGACTGAGCTCACCATCTTCTGAAATATCTGGAAGGTTCCCCTCAGGCTTGGGAATGGCACCTTGCAATTCACACCTGTACACACACACCCTATCACATGTAATAATTAAAAATTCAGGCCCTGCCCTTAGAATCTAAAGCTAAATTAGAGAGAATCACAAGGTAGCTTCGTGGGATCTTGCTTTTTCCTTGACTACCCTTAATCTGGGCAACCCCAGGCAGTTGCTGATTGCAGGGAACAGGGGAAATGCCAAGTGACTCAACTACTGTAGGATCTCTCCAGTCTTTTTAACCACTTTGGAACCTTTATTACAGGTTTGCCAAACACCACGCCCATCAATTCCCTTCCAAACCCTATTCACCTGTCACTTAAACTTAAAACACATGGGTGTTCTTTCCCAATTCCCCATTTCCCTTATTTTGCATATATCCAAGCAACCACATTTTCCCCTGATCTTCCTTCTCCTTCTCTTGTAACCATCACTTCTTCCCAACATTGTTGGTATTCATACCTTAGATCAATAGCTTCCGTTTACTCATATGAATGGAAAATTAATTTATCTAAAGCCTGGATTTGACTGTGACAGTATGCTACTCAAACTTAAACCACACACACACAAACCTTGAACCACCACTACTACAGGTCCCTTTGCCTCCTGAGTAAGACACAAATTCCTTTGTCTGCCACTCAAGGCCCTCCGTGATGTGGTTCCTTTAAAACTCATATCCCTGTGAAATCTACTCATGATGACTAGGGGTCCTCTCCAATAGTCTATTGGTACCAGGCTCTCATCCTACGCTCCCCAACATCTCATACTTCCTAAGTCCTTCCTCTGTGCCTTCAGGAAAATACAACAAAGGATTAACACACACTCTTATAGCATCAATTTCTTCTTGCCATATATGAATTGTTGTTGTTAAGTGCATTAAGTCTGTTCCGACTCATAGCAACCCTGTATAGGGTTTTGGAGGAGCAGCTGGTGAGCTTGAACCGCTGACCTTGCAGTTCAAACCGACCTTGTAGTCTAGTGCATTAACCTGCAATACCACACCAGAACTCATTTGTTCTTGATTACCCTCAATTTGGGCAACCCCAGGCCCAGATTCTATTCTATAGGAACAGAAACATAGATTTCGGAGTCCTATCAAGTGTTAAGAAGTTGATTTGAACCTCAAGGTCGGCTGTTCAAGCTCACCAGCTGCTCCTTGGAAACCCTGTAAAGGGTCACTATGGGTCAAAACCAACTCGACAGCATTTAACAACAACAACTGGTGGTGCAGTACATGATGAATTGGGCTGCGGATCACAAGGCCAGTAGTTCATATCTACCAGGTGCTATGCAAGAGAAAGATGAGACTGTCTGCTCACATGCAGACTTACAGCCTTGGAAATGCTGTAAGGACCTGGATAAGTCAGAACTAAATGGATGGCACACACCCATTACCACCACCATCAAGTGTTAGCTATCTATCCTTTGACACCTGAGATCCAGGAGGTAATGCAGGTGCCTTTCATCTTCCGTATTTCTCATGCCCAATCATTGGGTCCCATCCTCCTGCAAAACTCCCAACACCTGTTAACTTCATGTTCAATGATATCTATATACTTATATGCACACACAACTGCTCATGTGCCCCCACTCCTATCATTAAGTTGTTGAAATGTTGTACAGTCAGATATTCTAACATTTACCAAAAACTTCCTTTATTCTTGTGTACTTCTCAGTGACATTATTTATTTTGGTCCAGCTGTGAGACACTTCATTCATATTTGCTTTTGTATTTCAAGTCCCATCAAATTACAAGCATCTACTATCTAGAAGGCACTCTGGTAGTGTAGTGGTTACGAGTTGGGCTGCCAACCTCAAGGTCAGCAGTTCGAAACTGTCAGCAATTCCGTGGGACAAAGATGAGGCGTTCTGCTCCTGTAAAAATTTACAGCCTTGGAAACCCTGTCCAGGGTCACTATGAGTCAGAACCGACTCCACGGTACTTAACAATAGCAACTATCCAGAGAATGTTATTATTGTTAAGTGCTGTTTTATCAGTTCTGACTCATAGCAACCCTGTATAAGGTTCCTGAGGAGTAGATGGTGGATTTGAACTGTTTACAGTTAGTTTTGTTGTTGTTAAATGCTGTGGAGTCAGTTCTGACCCATAGGGTTTCCGAGGAGTAGCTGGTGAGCTTGGACCACCGACCTTGCAATTCAAATGGCTTTGCAGTCTGGCTGTTAACCCACAGCGCCACACCAGGACTCCATTGAGTAGTTCATTGCTTATCCTACAGTGCCACAGCAGGACTCCACCATCTAGACAGTGGTGGTCGCAGTGTGCCATGGAGTCAATTCTGACTCATAGCGACCCTGTACAGGGTTTCCAAGGCTATAAATCTTTATGGGAGCAGAAAGCCTCATTTTTCTCCCAAGGAACAGCTGGTAGTTTCAACCTGCTGACCTTGAGGTTAGCAGCCCAACTCGTAACCACTACACTACCAGAGCTCTCTATCTAGAGAGTAGTTACATTATATTTTGGATGATTCTTTTTTTCCTAACTTTGTTTTGTGAATTGAGTGGTTTACCGAGCAGATCATGAGTTTTGCATTCAACAAATCATACACTTGGTTTCACCTCAATGATTGCGTTCCCCTCAATGTACCATCACTTATCCCACTTCCTCTCTGTGTTTCCTGTTTCCATTCCTCCTTGTTTCCCAACCCTTCTGAACTTTGTCCTTGCTAAGTGCTGCCCTTTTGATCTTGAGTGGTTGACCATCCTGTGGTGTGACTAGTTCACTGGTGTGTTTGTCCCTCTCATAGCCCTATCTTATCTGGTGCTTGGCTGAAAATTGAGCCAGAGGTTAAATTCAATTTCAGGCCTGAAGTGTGATCAAGAGCCATAGTCTTGGGGTTCCACCAGTGTCTATCTGACCAGTAAGCCTGATTTTTTTATGATTTTGAGTTTTGTTCTACATTTTATCTAATGTGGGTTGTGATCCCTTTCAGAGAAGTTGGTAGTGGTAGTAAGGCATTGTCTGACTCTACTGGTCTCACGGTCATGGAGATAGTTGTTCACATGGTCCATTAGTCCATTGGATGAATTGTTTTATTTGGGATGATTCTTGATACCCTTTAAGCTTTCCTCTTAGAACCTTTACAGTTGCAGTGCTTGTTTCTTCGCTCACCCTTTCCTTTCCTCTTGTTCCCTCCATCACTGAAGGCCCAGGTGTCTGCTCCCACCTCACTTCCTCAGGGAGGCTTTCCCAGGTACTTCTTCCTAAGCAGCCTTTCTCTGCCCACTGTCTTCCCCATCATTACACTGTGTAGTTTCCTGCTGGTCCTTTTAACATTCTGTCACTACTTTTGTTAGCGATGTATGCATCTAGTTGTCTCATTGTCCTCTTTAGCATCAGTCAGCTCCATGAAGGCCAGCCAGTTTCGGTCATGTTCACCTTCTCTTCCTACAGTGCAGATGCCTGACACATAGCAGATGCTCAACAACTGGTGGGTGAATGGACTTATTTTTCTAACCAGTTTGTTTCTCCCCAGGTTCCACCAGCACAAAGTGATTCATTCTTTTCCAAACATACTTCAAGCTGTGCACTTTGCCGGAAGGACCTCTCACCTTCTCTTGGTCATTCACAATCCTGCCTTTTAGATATAACCCATTCAAATCTCCCCCTTGTTGAAGGATCAGAGGAACACTCCAACTGCAGAGGTCTGACCCATCCTCAGAGATAAAGGTGTGGACATTTTTTTCTCTGTTCATTGATCTCTTGCTGTCTGCGCACCTCTACTCTAATGACTAGAGGGGATGCCTGAGTGAGTGGACACCCACCCCCACCCCCAGAGGGTTCTACTGCTCATGCACACGAATCTGCTCAGCAAAGACCACTATGCACAGAATCTAAGAGAGGAGAAGACAC